AGATATTCAATTTGCAATAGAAGAAGATGATGCTGCACAACTGCCGATCTTCGACGTCTTCGTCAGGTATAGATCCAATGGAGAACTTAGCACCACGGTGTATAGAAAGGCCACTAACACAACCCAGGTGCTCACCTTCCATAGCAACAAGCCACTGCCTCCCTACGCGCCCATGTGGAACAAACGGAGAAGGGCCACCAACACTGTGGCACCCGCTTGCGTACATAATACGATATGCCAGAAGCAACTGAGCGTATCACGGGAGAGCATCGCCTCAGTACTGCTTATCAACCGACAGCTAATGTGCTTTAGCGGATCATGCAATCGACCGGCTTTCGCCTTCGCCATGTTTCCTTGCGAATTACATGCACGGCATTTAAGTGCAAACATATTTTATGATACGTCCTGAACAACAAGTCAGAGTCGTAAATATCGAAAGACACCTAATAGTGCCATGCTTGGCAGAGTCTGCTCCGGACCGGTTTTGATTTTCAGTCGGTTGATCTTGAATTCTGACACCAACCTGCAGTCTGTACTGTGCCCTGCGAGAACCACATAAGGTTTGACCACGTTGAGTTACCAAACGCCTTTAACATCTAGTTCTGGACACCAGCCTCTCCGACTAAACTTCTAGCTTTACTGACACTTAATGTCTCTTGTTGGTGTCCTGTATGTGTAACTCTATGGCTTCTCAGGACTAACCGATGATGACCTACATTATGTATTTTCTCGGCTGGCTTGCTTGCTTACGGAGCTCTCTTCTTCGGAGTTTGCACCTGAAAAGGAAAATTCGCTTCTACAGTCGATAAACTTTTATGGCACGTGTGTGAGTCAGCACGTTCTTCAAAAGGCCGTGTATGAAATTCTCAAGGAATTCTAGTGGAGACGAAGGCTCAATTTAACCCCTAGATGGTATACCACTCAGCAACATGAACAAAATTGCGCGGGTAATTGTTCAATCTCAGTACCCCTTGAAGGTGTTGTAATTTAGAAATGTTGTCTTCTGCTTTGCTGCAATGCGTCTCAACGCGCCGGAGTAGCGCTCTTACGCAGCTGCGTTTG